AAACTATCAACAGCAAAGTTTTTCGTTCTTTTCTAAATAAGAATAAACATTTTTTTCAAAACTATTTAAAATCTTTTCCGTGACCATGCACGAAATTTTTTTATCGCGCCTGTGTCCATTCAAGTCTTTTTTTATTGCTGTTCTCAACTTTATCTTTATTGGCATTCTGATAAAATGCTATTCAGAGGACAAAAAAAGGTGATACGTTTTTTTGTAGTTTTTTTATTAATAAAGTAAACATTGTCTATAAGTAAGGGCTCTTTTTTTAGCACGATTACTATGTGGCGGTGCTTTGGATGGAGCTGGTCACTTTGGTTGGCTTCATGAGTTTTATTGAGATCTTTCCAAATTTTTTTGGAAAAATGAATCAGAACGCCTACATCGACGCTATCTGCTTTTTTGTTTCTTGGCTTTGCCCCCACTTGATTATTTTTATAGACGCACTTTTATGCCTTCATCGAGTTTTTAGCTTTTTCAATGTCGCGGAAAGATTTCGTAAAAACTTAAAATGGTAAGTTTTCATAACTTTTGCTGTCGCGGGAGAAATTCCTATTTCGTTTACGCTAAAGCGGTCCTGAAATTTCTGATAGTCGTTTAAATTGGCTACTCTGGAAATATTTTAGGTTCAATAGAGCCAGCTTAACCCTTCAATCTAACGAATTACAAAGTTGTGAAAAGCTATATAGCCTTGAGTTATTTTCATTCAACCAAGACACATCGCTTCTTCTGCTGTAGAAAAGTATTTTGTTTCAGTTTTCTGGCCATCTCGTTGCTGTTTTCTATACCAGTTGCACTAACTATATTCTTGTACACACTAGTGACCATCTATGTTTCTTTATTTCCGGTGCGGTTTATCCAAATAGATACTATCCGAAATGCATACTATGTAAGTTTATTAAAAAAACTGTTAACTTTCATGCATCTGTTTCAAAAATTAGGTAGCGATCACTATTAAAAACTCTACTGATAGTGTCCACGCCGTGTGGCTATCTTTTTCATTTTTATGGAGTATCCACAAAAAAATTGTCTATGTCTTCCGTTTCGAATTCCCGGAGACATGAGACAATCGTATTGCAAGCCCTGCCGATATCCATTTACTCCTTCGTGAGTTCGAACTACTGTTGGAAAAAAAGCTCAGGAAAGTTATTGAAATGATAGATTGCGTCGTTCGACAGGATTCTCTTTATTCAACTCTTTGATAATCAGATGAGCAACGGAGGATCCATTCTTTTTCTTTTTTTACTGATTCTTTCGTCAGGTTCGAACGCATTACCTTAACGACTTTTTATTAAAAAAATTTCAGGGTACGTTGTACCTTTATCCTTCATCATTGGGAACAGTCAGAAGAGGGAGATGTTTATAGCCCTACTAACGCTGAAACAACTGAGAGAACTCACAAGACGAAAACCGATTTTTCGCCGCGAACAAGACAGTCCACGTGAAGAGCGCTGCTATTATAACCTGATGATTTCACTTGTAGTATTTTTTAAACTTTGAATGTTAAATATTGAATCAAAATATTCAGATACTGCAATATGATGAGCCCGCTGAACGAGATAGGAGCCTTACGTTAATAACAAACCTATGTTGTCTCGTTCTTCTATTAAAACTGAAATTCAGTGCCGTGCGTCATTGAACTCTCAAAAGAGCAAACTGATAATGGACTATCAATAAAAAAAGTCGGAAAATAAATTGTCGTATACAAATTTGAAACCAAAGAAGCCACTTCGTATTCGACAACTAAAGTTGAGCTTTTCCAACTATCCCTGACTTCCAGCTGCTGCAATTTTCCCTTCAACGCCACCTTGACTTACCTTTTTTCCACGAAATAAAAAAATCTGACCTGTCTGTGTATTTATTTTGCTCTCACCGACAAAATATCAGTAAAATGAGAGCGCGAAAGGATAGAAGAGCTTTACCGTAAAAAAAAGAGAGCGCAGATGTACTTGAATGTTTCAAACTATGGCAATGAGACTAGAAGTTCGGATGCTCAAAAAAACGGTTTCAGTTAGAGAAAAACTCTCCCAAAACTTCATTAACACATCTTGACTTTAAAAAAATCATGTCTTAGAAACATTAAAAAGTTTTTTTGATAATTTTTTTCTTGTTGAATCTATGAATCATTCGGGGCGTGCCGTAGCGCAACAGGTTGTGTGCCTGTCTACGGTCCACAGGGTGACAAGTTCGATCCCCGCCATGACCCAACCAAGGGGTTTAAGAAATGTTGGTAGTGGGAAACCACGACTTCATAATCCCCAGCCGTCACACACACAAGTGACAGATATGTCACTGGAGCCAGTCCAATGATATCAGGATAGGACCTCGGCTAATCGACTTGGGGCGCCGACGCCTTTTCTTTACATCTTCAATGGTCTCTCTTGTTGATTTGCTCTTTCTATTTTTCCATTATTGCGCCGGCGGAAGAGGCAAGAGGGTGCAGATAGGTCAGACAGTTTCAAGACTAATGGCGCGTAAAATGAAATTTTTATAGGAGTTAGAAAAGATTCCAAGGTCTTCTCAATATATTTTAAAATTTTGATTTTCAAAGTTTATGCAAATCAGGTCTTGAAATTCAAGACCATGAAAATCAAGGAGATTTTTTTGAAAATTACACAGCTGCAGTGACCTGAAGGTCATAACCTTTATAAATCAATGTTTTGAACTCAAAACTCTAGAGGCGTCAATCGAAATGATCATTTCCTTATGATTTCCTTATTATGTAGCCCGTTCATATATGTTTTCGATGGTAAGCCGTCTGATACAAAGAGCTTAGTCGTGAAATTACTTTGGCAGTACTGTGATAATAGTAATGATGAGAAGAACTATAGTACAACGATGCATGGAGAGAAAACAGTATTATTCGTGTCTGCAATATATGCTTTGAGCAGATTTTTTTTTGAGATTATGAGAGACTTTTTGTGGTTCCACCTGTCGCAGCGGCTCCACCTTATGAACTTTAACTTTTTTTGACAAGAAGGCTTACTTCAAGACATTTTTGTCCTGATCAAGCCCACGCAACGAGAAAACTCCGTCATAAAACTGAAATAAATTCCTCCAGGCTTCTATGAGTAATGAAACTATTCACCAAACTGTGGTGCCCAACTACGGTTATTGGACTACATTTATAGCAGCTCAAATCATTTTTGTTGTGATTCTTCACCTCATTTTTATAGGAATCCTCATCAGATGCTATCCCGAAGACAGAAAGGTGATTTCTGATCAATCAACGGCTTTACGAGTCCAAAATGGATCAAAAAAATTGAAATTTATTTTTCATTTTATAAGATCTTCGTATGCGAATTCAACTAAATACTGTTTTCAAAATTTTCAATTTTGCAGCATAATTATTATGCAGCTGTAGTTTGGATGGAGCTGGTGACTTTAATTGGCTTCATCACTTTCACTAAAGTTGGTATACTCATCGTTCTGGAAACGTCGTTTGATGATGTAAACGCCATCGATACACTCTGCTTTATAGTTTCCATGTTTTGCCCGTATACTTTAATCTTCATTGATTTTGTTTTGTGCCTTCATCGAGTCTTCAGTTTTTTCGACATTGCAGAAGGTTTTTGCAAAAACTTCAAGTGGTAAGCGAGTATTATGTCTAGTGTAAAACCTTTCTCTCAGGCCTTTATCTTTTGCAATACTTTCATCTTTTCCATTTGCACTAATTATGGTCCTATACACAGTCGTGTCTATAATCGTCGATTTTTCACCAGGCAATAACATCGATAACCTGAAGAAACACCTCGAAACTTCATACTACGTTTGTTCATTTTCGCTCTCTTGTAAGATGGGAGCCAGCAAGCTTTTCCAATAATTAGAAAAATCAAATTTCTCTAATCATCTAAATAATCACTTGTTCATTTTGAACATTCAGGTCGCCTTAACTGGGAAAATCATATTGACAGTGTCCACGCCGTGTGGCTATCTTTTCATTTGGTGGAGTGTAAACAGGAAAAAATCCATATCTTCTATTTCTAATCCCCGGACTCATAAGGCGATAGTTTTTCAAGCGCTGCCGATATCAATCTATTCTTTTGTATGTTAGAAATTGGAGAATTTCAAAGAAAAGTTGCGAAATGACAGGTTGCGTCGTTCGACAGGTATCTCATAACCACACTTATTGAAAATCAGCTGGGCGACGGAGGGAGCGGCATTTTTGTCACGATTCTTCTTATGTCAGGTGATAACAAATCAAAATTATTTTTCGTGATACATAAATTTTTAGGTTACGTCGTACCTCTATCTTTTTATTATTGGAAATACACAGAAGAGAAAGATTTTTCATATCATTGATCACGCTGAACAACTTCCGAAAAACTTGAAACGAAAAAGCCTATGCAAACTGTGAACAGCATTATCCACGTCACGAGCTCTGTTACAATAAATTAATTCACATTTTTCGTTCAAAAAAAGCCAAAGCATCTACTGGTGTGACTACTTCAAAACTGAAATTTGTTTTTCTTTCACTAAAGTATAAAATTAAGTTCAAAAGTTCTTCAAGCGTTTCATTGACATTGAAAGTTTTATATCAAAAAAAGCCATCGTATAAGAAATGGATTAAGAAAAACTAAAATAAGTCGGACTCAAACTGGCTCACACAGCGAAAGTCACGAGCGGAGCGCCAAAGATGGTATAGTCAATGTGAGACTTATTCGTCTTGAACTGACTTGCGCGTTGAAACGAGTCATTAAGAGAATAGTTTTTTTGGCTTTGTGAGAGGAAGGGAATATTGAAAGCAGATGCTCTTTACTGTGATGTTCAAGTGAAAGATTACTTACTACGTCAATACATCCAAAAAAAAGTGAAAACTCATAAAAACTTGTTTTTAAGGGTTCTGCTTCATTAATTGAGTAGAGAAAACAGCTGTCGCTGCAGGCTAACCTACTGCAGTTCAAAGTCCAAAATAAATTGGAACACCGCAAAATTTTTCTGTTGTTTGAGATAAGACATTCGAGGCACCTCAAGGCGTAAGGAATTCTATGTTTCACATAAGTATGATCCCTTCCTGGACCTATTTGATAGCGTTCATGTCTGTTCAAGTCGTTGTTGTTGCTATTCTTCACATTACCTTCATTGGAATTCTTATAAAATGTTATCCAGAAGACAAAAAGGTTGGATTTGAATGATGTAACGTAACAGTGAAGAAGCTCTTACAGTACGATTACTATGCAGCTGTACTATGGATGGAACTAATTACTTTACTTGGCTTCGCAACTTTCACTGAAGTCTGCTCGATTTTCGTTCTAAAAACGCCTTACGAAGAGATCAACTTGTTTGATGCGATTTGTTTTTTTGTTTCAATGTTGTGTCCTTATGTCCTGATATTTATCGACGCTGTTCTATGCCTTCATCGAGTCTTCAGTTTTTTCGAAATCGCAAAAGCCTTCCGCAGGAATTTTAAATTGTGAGATATTGATACTCAATAAAGAGCAGAAGGTGGTATGAAAAAAACACCAGCGAAAATCCAAACGGTGACTTTTCCGATTTTTTCATTTCGCTAGGGAACTTTCCGACGGTCACATTTCCGACGGATCCCTTTCCGACTTTTTTTCTCTTATGTTTTTTTCAATTTGCAAAAAAATCTATAAAAATTTTTTTGTTTCTATTTCTTTGTGTTTTAATCATCAACCAACTACCTACTTTATATAGAAAGATTAAAAACGAAGATTTTATCGAGAAAAAAAGTCGGAAAAAGATTCGTCGGAAAGGTAGCCGTCGGAAAGTTCCCTAGCGGTATGAAAAATTCGGAAAAGTCGCCGTTTGAATTTTCGCTGGTCTTTTTTTCATACCACCGAGCAGAACTAAATATTAGACGATTGCATAAATTTGAATAAAAAAATTCAAAAAGTCAGGCTTCAAGAAATCGGGTTTGAATCAATTTTAACCGAGAAAAAAATTTTTACAATTCAGATACGAACGAAAAATTTCTTTCTGAAGAGTTTTTCATGAGGATATTTATTTCGATGAAATATTTCACTAACAGAAACATATATGCTTCAATTTCAGGCCCTTGGGCATCGCAATACTATTCTCAATACCTTTCGCATCTCTCATCGTATCCTACACAACAATGTCCATACTTTTTGATCTGGCTCCTATAGATTTTGCAGCTGAAACAGTTGTACTCCTCCAAACTCCCTACGAAGTAAATTGATTTTTTGAGTCATTTCTCGAAAAGTTTTTCGAAATCTACTTTTCCAAAATTTTTATCAAATCCCCCGACTCACTACGGTCCAAAAGATGATTTTTAAAAAAAAATTCATTTTTTACGGAATGTTTGAAGTTGGCGCTCGGTTAACGCATGATGCAACGAATCTCAAAACGTTTTTTCATTGGGAAAATTCAGGTCGCCTTAACTATGAAAATGATTCTGACAGTGTCGACGCCATGTGGCTATCTTCTTATATTGTGGAGTGTGAATAAGCAAAAGTCGATAAACTCGGTTTCAAACGCTCAGCGACACAGCGCAATCATTCTGCAGGCCTTACCAATCTCTATTTACTCGTTCGTGAGTTCATAATTAAATGGAGAGCCATAAGCAATTCAAAGCTACAGGTCGTCTCATTCGACAGATTTTTCATGATCAAAATTATTGATACTGAGTTTTACAACGGAGGAACTCTTCTTTTTGTCATGCTCATTCTCTTTTCAGGTGCAAGGGACTCATCCTGTTTTCTTTACATAATGTTAAATTTCAGGTTACATCGTCCCTTTATCATTTATTATTGGAAACACTCAAAAAAGGAAGATGTTTTTGTCTTTAATGAAATTGAAAAACATCCAAGAAATCAAAAAATCGCGAAAAATGATGTTTACTGTAACCAAAACAGTTCGTTAGAAGCTCTGTGGTAATGAAAGAACTGGTTTTTTGAATATCGTCTTGATTTCCATAGCAGATGGGATACCATTCTCCATAACTTTTCATTAACGTATTGTGAAAAAGATTTTTTGCAGCTTTTACAGTAACCTTTAAGCACCTGCTTCCATCCGCAAGTTATAGTTTGAGCTATTGAAAAAAATGCATTGCATATAAATATAATAATTTTTTTCACCTGTTCCAACCATTTGGTTCTTAGGCTTCATGGATGAAAAAAATCGTCTATCGAAAAACAATCCCGTCTGAAATACAGTAGCCAAACTTCTACGTAAATCATCAACATTGGTTCAAATTTTTCTATGCGAATTTGATATCCAAAAAAAGAAAGTAGTTTTTTTACTTTGTACATTCTTATGGTTTTCATTTATTAAATATTCCGAAGTTTCCACCTGTCACAATGGTTCAACCCTCTTACTTTCATCATTTCTTTCAGTCAAACTTCGAAAACTTGAGATTATTTTTGTTCTTCTTAGTAGGAGAAAAATGAGTGATCAATTTTTCTTTGGCTAGCATAGTCCCTTCTTATGAACATTTGTCTGTACTTCTCACAGCTCAAGTCGTCCTCGTTGCTGCACTTCACGTTATCTTTATCGGAATTCTCATAAAATGCTATCGAGATGATAAAAAGGTTTAATCAAGAGAATTTTCCCATGTTTTAATCGCGTATAATTTTTCTATAAGTAGCCTTGGGTGAGAAAGAGTACGGAAAAAAATGCACTTGCCGAACACTACAAAGTGAAAAAAGGTTTTATCAGAACAAAATTAGAAAAAATTCGAAGGTTGCTTTTCACTGGGTAGCTTTAAATTGGAGGGAACTGTCCTAGGTACCTTACCATGAGAAAAACGAAAGAAAACGCGTGTTTACAGTTGATAACTCGAAGGAAACCATTTTAACCGTTTTCTGCACATTTTGCCTTAGGCTTTTTTTTCGGTACCACATGCTGTGATATAACTTTGCGTGTTTCGAGTATTCTTAACTAATAATTGAATAGATCGCATCAGACAATCACAAACTTAAAAAAATAAGAGAATAAGAAAAGGGCTATTGGTGGAAATTCGTTGATAAACAAAAAAAGATGGAGATTTTTAATACGAAATTTAGAAAAAAATGCACAAATTTTTTTCAGTACGATTACTATGCGGCAGTGCCGTGGATGGAAGCTGTCTCTGTGATTGGCTTCACGGGTTTCGCAGAAACTTTCTACATTGTCATTCTGGGGTTGACGTTCTCTCCTGTTGACAGAAGTCGTTTCTATATCGCCATGTACTGCCCTTACACTTTGATATTCATCGACGCTGTTTTATGCCTTCATCGAGTTTTCAGCTTTTTCAATGTCGCAAAAGGCTTTTGCAGAAATTTCAAATGGTAAGGTTCTGATAATCGTTTCACTGTTCAGGAAAAGTTCGGTCACGTTCACTTATTCCAGGAATCTGCGGGGTTAAATATTATCTTCCTTGTGCCAGAAAAAAAGTGAAAATTTCAGTCTGTAAAAACCTTAATCGAGATAATGCATGAAAGTTCAAAAAAAAAAACGGACAATCCAATAAGAAAAAAGTTTTTCAGGCCTTTAGCAGTTTCAATAATCTCATCGTGGCCTGTTGCCGCTTATATGGCCGCGTACACTACTTCTTCAATACTCACTTATTCGGATCCGCGAAATCCGATAGCTCTCAATATCGACCGTTTCGAAACCCCATACAATGTAGGTTTTATGTTTGAAATCGAAACGCTAGTCGCCCGCGAAAAAATGTAGCATTGTAAATAGGGACTGCCACCAATGAAAAATGAAAGAAAAAAATGAAAGAAAAATGAAAAGGAACCTATAGATAGGGACCACAGACCTATTTTTCGAACTCAAGCTAGCTCCTCGTTTTTGTTATAAAAACAATGATTTTAACATGTAGTATGCGAAAACAGAAAAGAAAAACGAAAAATATTAAGAATAAGAGGAGAAAACAATATTTAAAAGTAATTGAAAAGCAAAAATTTTTGCACTGAAATTTTGGTTTTGCGAATTCTCATGCAATCTGCGCGCACCCTCATTTGCAAGGTCGGCACGGTTTCAGGAGCCAAAAGAGAAAGTTTTACGAGCTGTAATCCCACTTTACCATCATTTTCGTCTCAGTGACTGCACAAATACAGCCTACAGTGCTCTTTGAATCCCATAAAAATGTAATTTCGCCCACTTTTATTCACCTTTTTTTGTTGAAAAAATTTTTTTCGGCGATCTTGAATTTTTTTGATTTTTATTGCTTTATCTGTTTGAAAATTAAAAAAACTCTTATAAATGAGTAAGAAAAAAACGCGTGTCTTCGACCGGGAAATGTTTCAAAATTACTCCCCAAAAAAATTCTCCACCTTTTTTTCACCTTTCAAAAACAGTACATTTGCTTGTAGTTGTCAACAAGTATTATTTGAGCAATGTTTTTTTCTCAATATGAAAAAAAGCATAAAATTCTTCCAATACTGCATTGCAATTGAGAAAAATTTTTTTGATTTTGCGCGCCTCTCAGTTTTTTTCGGCGAACATAGAATTTTTTTATTTTTTTGGCTTAAAAAAATTGCATTTACTGTTTATAAATAGTTTTCAAAAAATCAACTTTGTCCGCGACCTAGATGAATATCAAAACGCAAAATTAAGTTTATTTTTCCGAACTCGCCTCACTATTCCGTACGACACTCCGTTGAAACACATGGAAAGTACCTAAAAACCTTTTCAACGGAAAGAGGAACTTTTTCTACATATATGCTTAAATTTTTTCATCATTTTTTTCATTGTTTCTATCGGCTGTACGAAACAATCAAAGACGGAATACCAAAAAAATGGCCTTTTTTTCCCTCGCGAAAAGGGGCGGGGCTTTTGCGGTCGCTACCTATAGATTGAGGCAGCGAGATTCAATAAATAACCAGGATTTTTAGAATATTCAACCGAAAAACGTGAAAAAAAATAAAAAAAAACATTTTTGATACCTCTTTTTTTGGCTTGAAAGCTGTTAAGGCAGGGTTACATGGGTAGATCAAAAAAATGCAACTTGCACGCGCGCCTCCGTCCCCTTGTTCTTTTTTTCGATTTAATTGATTGTAATTTTTAATTTATTTACTAAATTTCCATCAGGAAAGTAAAATTGATTCAAACGAAAATAAACAGTTACAAAGTGTATAAATTTAAAAAAACATCAAAGTTGTCCTTGAAATAATTTCGAAAAGCGTTGCGTCGCGCAAATTTGTTTCTCCCGCATGCACCGCTCGCAGAACTGCATACGCTCTTCATTTTTTTTAAAAATTTTTTTCGAAAATTTTGTATTTTATCCAAACGCAGCCAAACCTCATTTTTCGAGTTTTGACTCCCAGACGATAGAGAATTTGCTCATCTATATGTTTCACTTTGTCCAATCGTTGTCAGTCAATGTTGGAAACAGAACAGAAATTTCAAAAAAAGGGCGTTTTGGATGTCATTTTCATTGCTTTTTTATGAACAGAATATAACTTCTTTATACGAGTTGCTGACCATTCAAACATATTTGACAGCATAGATCCTTCATTCCCAATTTTTTTGAAAAACTTCTATGTTCAATGTTGCCTTTTTTTGCAAGAAAAAAGATCATATGGTTGTCACTGGAAAAGTCGCCTTTTCAAAAAAAATTTTGCTTCGATGAACTTTCTCTGCGTTTCCAATATGAAATTCTGAATCTACGTGTGAAATAAGATATTGGCCAAACCTATTTCACCCAATTAGGACTACTATTCGCGCAATTAGAATAGCAAAAAAACGAAGTACTGAGCAAAAAAAAGCGACCCCGTGAGCAAAAAGCGACCCCGTGAGCAAAAAAAAAGCGACCCCGTGAGCAAAAAAAAGCGACCAAGTGAGCAGACCTTGGCGATCCCAAATTATAAAACATAAGTTCAAGTGAACCAGAAGTGTGTCATAAGAATTTTGTAGTCTTCTGCTAATTGAATGAATCAAACTTCAAGATTCAGGTCGCCTTGACAGTTAAAACAATAATAACAGTGTCTACGCCGTGTGGCTATCTTCTCATTTTGTGGAGCATCCACAAAAAATTATCCATATCTTCAACTTCCAACGCTCGGAGTCATAAATCGGTTGTTTTTCAAACTTTGCCAATATCAGTTTATTCTCTCGTAAGTATAAAATGAAGCCTAAATGTTTCAGTAATGTTATATTGCAGATTACTTCTTTCGACCGATATTTTATAATCATACCTTTCAAATACCAATTAGGCAATCAAGGCGCTATTATTTTTATTAGCACGATTCTAATGTCAGGTCCAGGCACAAAATCACGATTTTTTGGTTACAATAACTTTTTAGGTTATGTTGTACCTTTATCTATTATTATTGGAAACACACAGAAGCGTGAATATTTCGTGAACTTGGTCACGATGAAATACGTTCGAGAGAAAGCTAAAAGACGAAAGCCGATTTTTATCGTAAACAGAAGAGTCCACACCAAGAGTTTCGTTATATTGAACTAGTTTAGCTTTGGCTTGTGTGAATAGAAAAAAGTGTAGCACAGTTTTCGAACCAGCGAAACAAATAAATTCAGTTGAAATGAGGGTCTTCAAACTATTAAAAAAGTGTCATGGTTAATGGAGACAGTTTTACTCAGAAATTGACTGAAGTTGCGTTATTTTGTCAATTCATATCAATCAATTTATTCAGTCTTTTAGAGTAAGATGAAGAAAAATCTGTGCTTTTTTTGAAAGCAGAAAGCTAAAAAGAAGAAAAACCGATTTTTTTATCGTAAACAGAAGAGTCCACACCAAGAGTTTCGTTATATTGAACTAGTTTAGCTTTGGTTTGTGTCCATTGAAAAAAGTGTAGCACAGTTTTCGAACCAGCGAAACGAATAAATTCAATTGAAATGAGGGTCTTCAAACTATTAAAAAAGTGTCATGGTTGATGAAGACAGTTTTACTCAGAAATTGACTGAAGTTGCGTTATTTTGTACTGAAAGATTTTTCTGATCCTTATATCTTTGTATCCAGAAAATTCGAAGACCATCAAAATTTTTCAACTGTAAATTCTTGATATAAGTATATTTTTTTTTTCAAACATGCACTAAATCTCTAAACCGGCAAGGCCATAGAAAAATGAAGGTAACATGCAAACACGACATTTTCTCTCAACTTAATTTATGTTGCAAAGATGGAAGTATTTTTTTTTTGCAAATTTCTTTGCTTCTCAAGAGCCCCATTGACTACATCCAAAACAGGTAATTACAAAAAAAAAATAATTTTCAAGCCAACTCAGCTCGTCAAAAGTAACAAAAAAAGTGTCAGCAGCAATTATTTATTGCTTCCGCTTTCATATTACTCGTGACTGTGAACAAAGTATTTTCTTGTTTTTATTTTGAAAAGAAAAATCAGCCTCTGTTCACTGAAAAAAAACTCTGGTTACACCTGTCCGAACTGCTCAATCTTCTGAGTTTGAAAAACTTTGAAAAAAACGCAGACAAGAACTACAGAAGTCTTTATTTATTCGGTCAACGTATCATGAACAATCTCACAATACTGGACGCAAAAAGTTCATTATATCCGTTCACGGCTGTTTTCATGCCGGCTCAGTTCATATTTCTTGGCATCCTTCACCTTGTTTTTATAGGAATTCTCATAAAATGCTATCGTGATGATAACAAGGTGAATCCTGAATTCAAAAAAAAAAAAAACGGTTCTTTATATATTTCAGTACGATTACTATGCAGCAGTACCATGCATGGAAACGTTAGTCTGATGGGTTTTTTAGGCCTACAGTACCGCTCAAAAGTCTATTAACTTTTGGTTTTTTGGGGATATCTCAGCGAGTACTTATCCGATTTATATATAACTTTCAGGGATAATGTAAAATATACTTTGAAACATATACGGTATACAAAGACATGTCCGCAATGACTGTGACGCGTTTTTAGGCATTTTTTTATTGAATTCCATTTTTTTGTTTTTTATGCTTTTTATTTTTTTATTTATTTTTATTAAATTTTTTTAAAATTAATAATGTTGCCATATGATTTTTTTCATGTTTTTCAGACATGGGAAGAATCTCTGGAAAAAAGGATTTGACTGATAACGACAAAAGAGCCATCGTTGTGGGTCGTCAAAATGGACTGACCATGATGACGTTGGCAGGAATGTTCGGCGTGACAGAGGCGGTCATTTCTCAGTTCCTAAAGCGTCAGAAAGCTCAAGATGGCTCTACTAACAGCCAACGCACTGGAAGACCACGTGTCACTGATCGTAATGACGATAGGAACATTTTGAAGACGTCTAGAACCAATCCAAGACTCACCGCCCCTGCGATCAGACGGGAAGTTTTCTTGAATTCGCCATCTCCGCCATCCGTCTCGACCGTGAAACGACGTCTGAATGCTGCTGGAATCATGGGAAGACGTCCAGTGAAGAAACCGCTGATTTCTGAAAAAGAATCGAGTCGCCAGGGTGAAGTGGGCGAAGGAGCATCTCAACTGGACCCGTCAAGACTGGAACAAGATTCTGTCGTCCGACGAAATCAAGTTCCTCCTCTTCGGAAGTGACGGAATTCAATGAGTTCGTAGACCAATTGGGTCCAGATATCATCCGAAATACCAATTACCCTTTGTGAAACATGGTGGAGGACCGTTTCGTCGAATCACAGAATCTTGTTCCAGTCTTGACGGGTCCAGTTGAGATGCTCCTTCGCCCACTTCACCCTGGCGGCTCGATTCTTTTCAGAAATCAACGGTTTCTTCACTGCACGTCTTCCCATGATTCCAGCAGCATTCAGACGTCGTTTCACGGTCGAGACGGATGGCGGAGATGGCGAATTCAAGAAAACTTCCCGTCTGATCGCAGGGGCGGTGAGTCTTGGATTGGTTCTAGACGTCTTCAAAATGTTCCTATCGTCATTACGATCAGTGACACGTGGTCTTCCAGTGCGTTGGCTGTTAGTAGAGCCATCTTGAGCTTTCTGACGCTTTAGGAACTGAGAAATGCCCGCCTTTGTCACGCCGAACATTCCTGCCAACGTCATCATGGTCAGTCCATTTTGACGACCCACAACGATGGCTCTTTTGTCGTTATCAGTCAAATTCTTATTTCCAAAGGTTCTTCCCATGTCTGAAAAACATGAAAAAAATCATATGGCAACATTATTAATTTTAAAAAAATTTAATAAAAAAATAAATAAAAAAATAAAAGCATAAAAACAATGGAATTCAATAAAAAAATGCCTAAAAACGCGTCACAGTCATTGCGGACATGTCTTTGTATACCGTATATGTTTCAAAGTATATTTTTACATAATCCCTGAAAGTTATATATAAATCGGATGAGTACTCGCTGAGATATCCTCAAAAACCAAAAGTTAATAGACTTTTGAGCGGTACTGTAACTATTATCGGTGTATATTTTCACAAATTCGCCCGAGGTCGACGGATTTCTCGTATTCTCTTTTTTCGCTGCCATGTTTTGCCCTTATACTCTGATATTCAACGACGCTGTTTTATGCCTTCATCGAGTTTTCAGCTTTTTTCAGTATTGCAAAAGGGTTTTGCAAAAACTTCAAATGGTAAGAATTTTAAGGTTTAATCAATTCGCCTCAATTTCGTCCCCACGGCAATGTGCCTGCCTCACCACTGAATAGAATAATAATTAGCGAAAAAAATAAACAAAAATAAGAACTTTAGAAATCTATGCAGGAGTTTTAGTCCCACATTAGCGGTAAATATGCTATAAGTTTTCTATATTTTAATTTTTTTGAAATTCAAAGCCTAGAAAGCACAAATTTGAGCTTAATGAGTCAAAAAAACTTATCAGAATTTTCCCAGGTTCCTAACCGCCGCTGTTTTTCCTATCTATGCCGGTCGCGATAATTATGATCATCTACACAGCAGCGTTCATTGTTTTTCAATTTTTTTATCCACTCCAAATTTTGGGCATCGCAATTGAACTTCTCACAGCACCATACTATGTGAGTTTATCATTACAAGAAAGTTAGATTGTTAAATGCTGAAGAAGATGTCTCTTTATATTAAGTTTCAATCAATCGGAAAGTGAAAATAGATTCTTAGAAAAAAAGTTAGGTGCCTTGAAGAAAATAGCATTCATGTTCTCATCAAACTCAGTATAAAACAAAAATTGAATTGACTTCAAAAAATATTAGAAGAGCCCCACAAAAACAAATTTAAGGTGCCAGAAAAACTTTTCTGCGTCACGTTTCATTCAGACTAGTAACTTTCGAATCAGCTGCTTATTTTGAGAATTCAGGTCGCTGTCACCATCAAAACAACGCTAACAGTATTCACACCGTGTGGTTATTTGCTGATTTTAAAAAGTGTCCACAAGCAAAGGTCAAGAACTTCCGTTTCCAATACCCGGAGTCATAAGGCAATTATTCTACAAGCTTTACCCATATCAATCTACTCTTTTGTGAGTTTGAGGCTAAACTGAAATTCAATAAAACTACCAAATTGAAGATTACCTCGTTCGACCGGTATTTCAGCATGATACCATTTGAAAATCAATAGACGAGCAATGGGGGAGTGGTTATATTCATTCAAAGCATCTTGATGTCAGGTCCGAAGAATATCTTTTATTTTCAAACGCTTAACTTGCAGGTTATGTTGTCCCACTGGCTTTCATAATTGGAAACACGCAAAAGCGTAAAATTTTCTGGTCTTTATTATCACTGAATTTCGCTCGAAAAGTTGAACGAAGACCGAAGTCAATGTTCATCACTGTGACCAACAAGACCATGGCAAGTGTTCTGTGACAATAAACTTTTTTTCTGCGCATTTTCTTTTAAATAAAGGTGGTATTTGTGTTACTGAATCGTGAAATCAGCTGTCATAAGCAACCAGCAGACTTCTAAACTTTTTCTGCAAACAATCATGAGAAGTACTAGAACTTTGGAATGAACTTTGAGACTGGTTTATTCATGCCTGGTGGATATACCTGCTCGACCAGGTATCTCGGCAAATTTAAGTAAAATCACCTGGTATAGACAACCAAAAATCAACATTTCAAATGTTAAAAAATGAAAAGTTTTGTGGTTGTTTATAAGAACAAGCTACAAAACCTTACAGAGATTGGGATATTCACCTGCCTCAGCTCCTAATTCGAAATTTTTTTTCTTCTAGCGTAACTTTACGAAACTTGTCCTCGATTTCATGAGCTTCCTTACAATTTTATCGGTATTGTTCATCTCAGCTCAATTCGTCACACTACCTGTTCTTCACTTTATTTTTATATACATACTTGTCAAGTTTTTCAAAGAGGACAGAAAGGTGCGTAAGAATATTCGAGCTGAGTGAGAGAAGACCGATCTGATTCTCTAATTCATTCGCTCACTGGACATAAATTTATTTATAATAGCTTGAGAAACCATAAAAATCCAAAATGGTTGGTGACATGGTTTTAAAAATGTTTCTATGACTTTTTTTTGTTTTCCCTCTGCACGTAGTTAACAATTTTGGCAAATGGAAAAATGGGCGGTTATATTCGAGACCAGGAAACTCTAGCTGGAAACAACGCAATAACCAATCGAATTATACATAACTACATTCAGGGAATCCGAAATGAACTCTTTTTTCAGTACGATTACTACGTGGCAGTACCTTTGATGGAAACTGCGTCATTAATTGGCTTCTCGGAACCTCTAACAATGATAGTTTATGGACTATTTGGTGCACAAAAAAGCAGCCCTTTCATCACCTGGTTTTTTCTCCTTTTTAACTGTTCCTCGTTCCTTTTGATAGTTATTGACGCCATGCTATGTCTTCACCGGCTTTTCACTATTTTCGACTGCGCGCGAGGATTCCGCAGGCACTTCAAATGGTACTGTTCTCCCTTCAGATCCAAACCTTTATTTGAAGGCTTACTATCAGAATTCTTCAAAAAAAAAAAACGTTGAATTCAGGCCTCTGGCGTTCGCAATGGTTCTATCGGTACCGATAGCACTCATGATGACCTTATATTTTTCTCTAACAGTTCCTTCTAGAAATGACGTACAGAGAAACAGTGCGAGACTTGGTCGTTTATTTGATGTGAGATTTTTCTTTTCGGAGACAACCTTTAGAGATGAAAATGACGTCAAGTGAAACCTCGGGAAAATTTTTATGAAGATTCTCTAAAAAACTTCAAAACTATTCAAAAGATCTTCAGAAGTTAATTTGCGTTTCGCCACAAATTGGTCTTGAAATTCGCGACTTTTTTTGTCGCCCTAGCGTTAAGTTACTATTTTTTTCCTTGTTCGGCTTCCTTGGTAAGAGAAAAAGATCTTACATAGGCCTGTTTCTAGTCGTGGCGGAGATGTGCGAAAAAAATGATAGTTAAACTTCAGAATCTTTATTATCTGATTTCATCGAATTCAACCTTTGCTAAATCCGAGAGTTCCTCATTTTCCGATTTCAGTTTTGCTTATCCATCAAAATGATGTTAATTGTGTCTACACCCTGTGGCTACCTTCTTATTCTGTTAAAAATCAACCGTCAGAAAGCCTTATCTTCGATTGCGAACGCCCGGAGTCATAAAGTTATTGTTTTGCAAGCTCTGCCGATATCAATTTATTCTTTTGTGAGTTCACAATGACACGGAAAAAGCTTGAAAAATGCAAAACCACAGTTGGCCTCGTTCGACCGGTACTTGCTCGCCTTGAATCCCGTAAGTCAGTCGTTTAGCTATGAAGGAATGACTCTGTTTTTTCTCAGTCAAATTGCGTCAGGTACCTCTCGAATTCAGAGCAAAAAAAAGGTCGACTTTCAGGTTATGTCGTACCTCTATCTTTCATGATTGGGAACTCACAAAAGCGAGAGGTTTTCTTCTCAGTGCTAACAATGAGATGTATTCGGAAAAGCAAAACGAAAGAACATTCGAACGTGTCTGTGACCCAAATAGTTCCCTCTCCAAGCTGAAGAAAAAAAATACTCTATCGATTGAAAAAATATCATAAATTATTTTTCGATAACTTGTCCTATGAATCTCTAAACAAACTAATTAGAAATCGAAATGTCGCATGATAAACAAACCCTCAACAAATAAACCTGCTAAGCCGCAGCTACGCATGCAAGAATTCTTCTTGTATTCAGAAATTTTTTCTTTGACACGATTTCTGCTCGTTTTTTTCCTTGTCTCAATGGATAATTCTTCCTTTACTTCACATCATCTTCATTGGCATACTTGTGAAGTGCTTCTCCGAGGATAAAAAGGCTTCATTTATTTTTTTTCCACTCATAGACTTCTCAGTTCCTTCAAATGGTAAGAAATCGAAAGGTATCTCATTTAACAACCTTTTCAGGCTTTTGGCTCTTGCTATCTTAACTTCAATCCCTTTATCTTTTGTTATGATTTCTTATTCAGCAATGACTTCTTTGCCGAAGGCAGAGAATCTTGTTCTGATGCTGAAAGCTCCCTATAAAGTGAGGGATCAAACCGAAAATATGTGTCAAACATACTTTAAAAGAAACGAAAATGTTATTATCTCATTTCATCACGTCGACTAGTCGGTCTTATTGCCGCTCTCTCATGGGACAATATTCCGACGTCCGTCAGCCCTGGACAAGCTGGGCGCTGTACTGTTCCAACATGGGGAAGCAGTTTATTCGCTGGTACTACCACCACATTATCCCAACTCCAGCTGTCACGCCGAGACTTATTGGACAACGATTGTGGACCGTAACCCGCGCCGATGACTAACTCTTCGATTATACCATGATTCAGAAGATATTTTTCTACATCTTACTCTGAAGACTGAATAAATTGTAAAATGTAAATTTTAAAATACTTTAAAAGTGTTAATTTCACAATGAAAGAACATGTACTTTTTTGTGGCAGCCTTAAAATCTGTTTCAAACTTCGAGAATCAGTTGTACCTAGTTCAATTTGCCATGACCGTCAAAACGGCGCTGATTTCATTCACTTTATCGGGATATTTTCTGCTTCTTTGGGTTGTGATCCGAAGAACAAAGAGGCTTCCGTCTAATTCTCTACCCAGAAATCATAAAACCATCGTTCTTCAGACTTTGCCAATGTCGATCTACTCGTTTGTGAGTTTGAAGTTCAATAATTCTTTATTAGTTTGAAAGTATGTAAAATTCATCTAATACGCCCTCTCTCTAATTATTCATTTCAGTTGATGTCGTTAATGGGTGTTTTAGTGGAAACTGCAAGAGACAATTTGATAGGACCTTATGTATCATTGATATTCATCTTAAGCATCGTTGCTTCAGGTAAATCTTTTCGCTTAATATTGGGATTTGGCTTTTTTTCAGGTTATGTTGTCCCACTATCTTTCATTATCGGAAATCCGAAAAAGAGAAAAATGTTTTCCTCGTTGTTGAGAATAAACTTTCTTCGAGAAGCTACTTCAAGTTCTGAAAATATTACGACTGTAGTAGTGAGAGATGAAAACTGAAGAAACTCCCCAAAGGAAGAAAAAAAAAACGAAATCCAGGAGAAAGTTCTTGAAGATGATGGTCTGAACAAAGTTCGCGTGTCTCAAACCTCATTTTTTACAGCCTTTGAAAGTTTTTCACCCAATAATTATTGCTTAGCTTTAAGTGAGAAAATCGCTTGCTACATACGAGCATATCTGAGAACTTTCAATTCTAAATATACTTTTCACGTTCATATTTAAAGAATGACCCTTCCTAACATGTTTCTTTATCCTTTGCTAACATCTCAAACCTTTATCCTTTCTGCCCTTCATATAGTTTTCCTCGCTATTCTCATTAAATGCTACCCTGAAGACAAAGAGGTGATTGTTATTGTTATATTGAAAAGTTTTTGAACTTTTCTTTTGATTAATCAACAAAATTTCTCCAGAACGATTACTACGTAGCAGTGCCTTGGATGGAATTTGTTACTTTGATTGGATTCTCCATTCCGTCAATATTTACAACGTCTGGTATAATCATTGGTGCAGTCTCTTCCGCTTTGCTCGCCTATTCCATTTTAGCTTCCATGTTTTGTCCGTATATTTTAATTTTCATCGACGCCATTTTATGCCTTCACAGAATTCTCAGTTTTTTCGAAGTAGCCCCCTGGTTCCGCAGGAACTTCAAATGGTACAGTATAAATGCAGCAAAAAATCTCTTATTTGAATCTAACGAATCTCGAAAAATTTTTATTTAACATTTCAAGGGCCCTGGCAATCGCTATTCTAACATCAATACCTATTTCATCTTTGCTTATTGGCTATAAAACCATGTCTTTCCGTCCCGAGGAAAACTCAGAGACGCTCGAAAAAAATGAAATCGGTTTCGTGGTGAGTTCATTTTCCAGTTCTCGTCCACATGTTACCGCATGGTGAATGAAAGCTACCAAAAACGGTTTTTAAGAAATCTTGTGAAAAAAAATATTCTACTTCACGATTGGATCCCCCTAAACCAGAGCTGCTGACCAGACCGGGGCGACCGCAACGCGCTCCGGGGCACCTTGCGGTCACACTGTTAGAAGATTTCTATACAGTTAGTCAATGATATATATGAACTTTCATTTTCTTCGATCGATAGACTTCTTTATTAGCTGTTATTCTGCGGATTTTTCACTTAAACTTCATTTTAACTTATCTACTCAGCGGGGCGGGGCGCCCCGGGTCGCCCCGTCAGCATCACTGCCCTGAACCTTTCTTTTGCAATCAAGAAAGGCTCGAAGCCTGGCTGACTTAGATGGTTTTTTACAATTTTCTCCGACTTGAAGATTTTTCTCGAAAACGAGATATTAGTGTATGTTAAAACTTCCGAATCTTTGCCTAATAATGGAGTTTCCTAGCCCACTTTCCAGTGTTCTCGATCGCTACGTAAAACAACATTTATTTTTAGTTGTCGAAAACAGATATTAAAAATGAAAAAAAAAACGTGCTCAAAAATACGGAATAAAAAATAATTAACCATTTCTTACTTTTTTTTTTTAAGGAGGTTTTGGATTTCTCGCATTTTCCAGGTTGCATTTACTGTCAAATACACTCTGATGGTTTTCACCATATTGGGTTACATTCTACTTCTCTGGGCGGTCAATCGCCAGACGAAAATAGTGCCGACAAACTCTACCAACAGAGGTCATAAGACTATCGTTCTTCAGGCTTTGCCGATCTCGATCTACTCTTTCGTGAGTTTCGAGGCGAGAAGTGATAAATGCTTTTAACGTGGTATTGCTAAAAAATGGCAAATCGCTCATATTTGCTTTTCAGAGGTCAAAATAGGTTATTTCCTGAATAAAGCCTTTTATAAGAGTCTTTAAACAGGGTTATGAAAAATTTTATCATCTTCACGGAGTCAATTGAGCTTTTTCCAAAAAATTCAAAGATATATTATTTTTACAGATAACTTCCTTTTATTATGTTCTTTTGGATCCCTTCAGTAATGAGCTGATCGCACAATCAGACGCTGATCTTCTTTTCATGTTGAGCATCACTCTATCAGGTCACTAGTATCCCTTATCCTTTTTAGTTCCATATGAATTCTTAGGTTATATCGTGCCGCTATCTGTGATTATTGGACACCCGAAAAAGAGAAAAATGTTTCGGTCAATCTTCAAACCGAGCTTCCTTCGAAGAGTTTTCAAATCTTCGGAACAAAATACCGTACTCGTTCAAAGCAACACGAACTCGCAAAAATAAATTTTTTCTCTCAGGCAACTGTGTCAGGAGGAATGATGTACAATCAGTTGGCTTTATTTAGTTTACCTGTGAGGGTTTTTCAGGTCTCCTGGGTTTCTTAGATTTTTATCATTATTATTTTTCGCTTTTATGGTGGCCAATGATTTTTCTAGACTTTCTTTAAAACTCGATCAGTTGAAAAACTGGGAAGTGAAGTTCAGTTTTTAAAGAATACGAATCTTCCCGAGAATAAAAAATAACCTCAATAAGGACTTGAAATGTCCTTTTTTCAGCGTATATGAAGCTGTGGTTGCAGAACGGTCACTCTAAAACTTACAATCATGGCAAAACATTATAATTTTTCTTTTATCATAACCTGTTTTTCGAAAAATTCCCAGATATCTCACACTTAAAATTACAGTGAATGAGTAATTATTTTTTTTTAGCAAACTATGAAAAATTATGAACCAACGTCACTACAATGTTTCGAGTCATTCAATTCGTTTTTAAGGCGTTTTCAAAGTCGGATATAAAGCCGGGATTTCGACATTATCAATGGGAGAAAGAATAAAAATGAGAGAGCCTGTGAGAAAGTTCCTACAATGAACAATATTTTGGCGTGAAACTGCGGTGGAAGGAATTAACTTTTTTATTGAATGGATAAAGAAAAAAAGAATTCGCCAAGTAGCAAAAACTTACCAAAAAAAAACAAAAACCTAACAGAATCAGATGCTATCTTTGAGTTAAATAGACAATTTTGAAATTGGAACTCGTGTCTATCTGGTCAAGCTAATGACCTCAAAAAACTTCAACTTCGAAGTTTTTTTTGTGAAACTCTGAGAAAACAATTACAAATAAGAGTGTCGTGTGATAAGAAAACTGTGAAATACACCTGCTGCATCAAAGCAACCCCGACATTTGCGAAAAGTCTTCTTGTGGCCAAAGCAACGGTTACTTCCACACATATTCTGCTTGCTTTCTCTTCGTCTCAGTGGGTGGTTCTTCCTTTCCTTCACATTACCTTCATCGGCATACTTATAAAATGCTTTCCCGAAGATAAAAAGGTTTAAGTTACTTATTTCACTGTTCATTACACCTAAGAAGAAAGTTCGTTTACACTGCGGTAAGGAGTTTTCAGGAAAATTTTCGCTGTGTCTGATTGAAAATTTCAATTCTCACAACTTTCTTTTATTTTTAGAGAAAAGGCACTTCAAAGTCGGCTGGAATAATCAAAATCCGTTAAAATAGCCTATTTTCAGACTTAGATGCCCTTCTTTTCAAAAACTAGGAATTAGTGTAGGTTAGGACTATCAGAGCCAACCTCTGCCAATTTTTTAGAAACCCAAACGCAAAGTGAAATGACTCACCTTTACGGCCGTTCCCAAATGGGGTGGGGGGACGTCAAAAAAAATTTGGCGCGAAAATAAAAATCTCAAGTACGCAGCCAAAGGCGATCGGACAAAAAAGTTATTAACGTTGAATACTCCGTTGTTACGTAGAAAGACCTCATTTTATCCGGAGCGCGCACTTACTTTTTTCTGTAAATTCAGAAACTTTGACGCCTCGCTCACCTTGCCTCACCCCATTAGAAATGCCGTGCCTTATAGAACCTCTTTCAACTATTATAAAACTTCAGTACGATTATTACGTGGCGGTGCCTCTGATGGAAGTCGTTACTTTAATCGGATTCACTGGACCAGCTATAGTGACTACGCATGTTATAATCAAAGGAGCGGTTAAAGTTACCGCAGTGAACGGTTCTTATTTTTTCATTTCCATGTGTTGTCCAGATGTTCTAATGTTCATCGACGCTGTATTATGTCTTCATAGACTTCTCAGTTTCTTCGAAATCGCTCCCTGGTTCTGCAGAAATTTTAAATGGTAGGAAATCAATAGTCCTTCCAATGGTTTCTTGGGTAATTTCAAGTAACCTCATTTCAAGTGCCTAAATAATAACCACTGAAAAATAATTAATGAGAGAGCGATAGACGGTTTTCATCCTGATTTTTCAACTTTTCAGGCCTCTGGCTCTAACTGTCTTGGTTTCTATACCTTTGTCATTTGTAATGATAGCTTATTCATCAGTGATCTCTCTTCC